TGGTCAGGATCTGTCTCACAGGGTCCCAGGCAGCAGAATCTCTATGGTTCTGCTCAAACAGAGGCAGAGTTTGGAGAATCTGTGCTGGGAGGCCATAGCCCAGCTTTATGGAGCCCAGCTTTATGGAGTTTCTGCACAGAGCCCAGTTTTATGGAGCTTCTGCACAGAAGAGCTTGTGGGTTATGGGAGGGGTAGGCCAGAGTATAAACAGAGGGCACGGGTTGATAGATCTGCCACTGTACAGACTTATACATCATTCAGGAGTAGATATATCGTTGATAGATCTGCCACTGTACAGACTTATACATTATTCAGGAGTGTGTGTATATATATATCTGTATCTACCTAAGCGATTAAATTATCCTAATAATCGCAGTGTATGAAGGTGTGTGTGTGTGTGTATACACTAAGACTATGTCTTCACTACAGGTTATGATGGTATAACTTATATCCTTGGCAGGGAGTGACTATACTACCCACCACCTGAGCAAAGTAAGTTACATCACTCTAGGTGCCAGGGTAGACAGCTGTGCCACTGCAGTGCTGTATGTTACCCACCACCTGAGCAAAGTAAGTTACATCACTCTATCTGCCAGGGTAGACAGCTGTGCCACAGCAGTGCTGTATGCGTGGACAAGCCCTAAGATACTACCAGGATGGTCATGTATATACCTGTATAGACAGAATGCTGCCAGGTTTATGATCCTTTCTACATGCTTCTCACACAAACACACTGGCTGCATCTAGACTGGCAAATTTTTCCGCAAAAGCGACTGCTTTTGCGGAAAAACTTGCCAGTTGTCTACACTGGCCGCTTGAATTTCCACAAGAACATTGACAATCTCATGTAAGAAATCAGTGCTTCTTGCGGAATTGCTATGCTGCTCCCATTCGGGCAAAAGTTCTTTTGCCCAAACCTTTTGCGCAAAAGGGCCAGTGTAGACAGCTCAGATTTGTTTTGTGCAAAAAAGCCCTGATCGCGAAAAAATGGCGATTGGGGCTTTTTTGCACAAAAGCGCGTCTAGATTGGCATGGACCCTTTTTCGCAAAAAGTGCTTTTGCGGAAAAGCATCCATGCCAATCTAGATCCTCTTTTCCGCAAATGCTTTTAATCGAAAACTTTTCCGTTAAAAGCATTTGCGGAAAATCATGCCAGTCTAGAAGTAGCCACTATGATGCATTACAGACATCCAGAACTTGATGGTACAAAATCATTATCTTACAGCTCTGTGCCATTGGTCCGGTTCCAAAGGTACCACAGATGCGCAAAACCTGTCCTTTCGTCACCTTCAAGTCGCTTGGCAGGCTGAGAAGGGTGGCTTGCTATGTTTGACTTGGACAACACATGCTGATCCAGACATCCAGGGAAAGCAATTGGAAGGTGCAGTCCTGAAAACAGTCCAAGTAAATAAAAAAATACAATCAATATAGTATGAAAAGGAGCAGTTGCCTCCTGTTAAATGAAATATAAAATAAAAAATTAAAAAACAAGCTACAGTCCTTGGCTCATTCAGTAAAATGATAAATTCTTAGGCTCCATTAATGCATTGAGATCTGCTGGCAGAGACCCTTATGCCCACAAGGAGTCCCCATCCAACTGCATGATCAGAGCCGTAGCCGTGGTCACTGTTCTTGCTATACATGTGTATTGGTTATTTTGTTCATTCCCAATGTCTGCGCTGATGTAGGACTGTGTTACACAACTCCCTTCACTTCAATGAAAAGAAATCCCTCATTTCTCAGCAAAAATTAACTCAGATGTAATCGGGCCCATTGCTGCGGGCTTTACAAGGTTAAAACTACAATTGAGGTTGATTGGAACTGTGTCCGAATGAGGACTGCAGAACTCTGCTCTCACTAATTACACACAGAGCACAACAAACAACATATTCTTTCTCTGAGCAGAGCTTAAGGCTCGATTTTGTATCTGCTGAAATCTGTAGGCGTGTTGCCCTTGACTCCAATGGGAGCAGAAGCCAGCCTTAAATTGCACTGCACCTTTATTTTTTTCTCTGTAGTTTTCATTAACTCCAACATACTTCACTTTTAGGCTTTCAAACTCTTAAGTAATACTCAGGGAAAAGTCAAGCTGTTCGTATTATTTCCATACCTCATTTTAGTGTCAAACCACACTGTGCTAAGCTTATTAAGATATCTGCATAACTTCCCTTTTAATGCAGACTCACTCCATTTCAATATATCAATTTTAAAACAAATCCAAAGTGGTGTAATTGCTAGTGGGTTGATATGCACAGTCCTTCAATGAGCACAGAGCTCATCTCTAAAAAGTGTCTCTGTTAAAACAGCATTGTGAGGGTCCATGCTGATTGCCTCTCAATGACTGCTTATTAACATGGTTAGTTTACAGTCTTGCAAGCTCCACCTAGGCTCCAAAAGTCAGTCTGGGTTCTTTGTTTCACATACATCATTCCCCAGGAATAAAGGTTTTGCAGATCAAAACCAGGGCCTCCTGTGTTCACCCTTCCTCTTCAGGTTATAACTTTAATGTTATCTTGCAACCATGTTGCACAGGTGTAACTGATTTGAGCTTCATAAGCCATTACTAGTATGTCCATGCTGCACAGGGAGGAACAGTCCCCCGTCTGTATGAGCTCTGTAGCACTAACCAGGGTAAAACCCAATAAATTCTTACTTTAGTCACTTAACTGAAACTCACTTTACTTTGAATATGCACAGAGAGCAAATTTGATCCATACAGAAGGGACTTAGTCACTTAACTGAAACTCACTTTACTTTCAATATGCACAGAGAGCAAATTTGATCCTTAAAGAAGGGATCATTTTTCCACATACACTCTTCAAAGAACAGCAGTTTTTTAACAGGGTAATTTTCCTAGGGTCTCTCTTAGGGTAAGTCTTGGAATGTGTGATAGGTGTATAGTCCCCACACTGGACCGCAAAGGGTGCAAGAGCAGCTCTGCGCTCAGAAGGGCCTGCCTCTCCATCCATGCTGAGTGTGCTCTCCTTGAGGCAAAGCTTAAAAAGGGAGCCAATCAGCTCAGACAGGATAGGGAGAAGGGCTGGCTCTGGGAGCTACAGCAGAGGATGCAGCCAGAGTCAGATGAGGAGGAAAAGTCTTGGTGAGCAGCAAATCTTATGGGCTGGAGACAGGCAGACAAGCTGCACAGAAGTGCTGGCCAGAAGAAATTGCAGCACACCATAGACAAGAGATAGGTAGGAAGTGACAGATGGAGTCCGATTTAAGGCACCCAGATGAAAGGTTCTGGGCAGGCCTCGCAGAACCCTGAGTCGGTACCTGGTGGAGGAAGAGGGACCTATTTCCCCTGGCCTTTCAACAGCAACCACTAGGCAGGGTGACTGCCAGACACTGTGACACCAGACCATTCACAGGAATTGAGCTCTTGGTATCCAGGCACAGAGTGTAAGTATAAAGGCAGTCTGTGGATGGTGCTCTAGTATTGCGGTGGTTTATGCACTAAGCCAAGATAACCTATGCTCAAGTAATAACATGCTCAAATCTCACTATCCCTGAAAGATGCAGCTGTCAGTCTGTCTTCAGCTCCTCATTCAAGATGTCAGCATAATCCACTGACTCCTCTGTGCACACTGTTCTTTCAGAAGCCTGGTCTATGCACAATATATGTTCCAATCTAACTATGTCAGTTGGGAGGCATAGTTACATTCATATAAAGGAGCCATATGCAAATATAGCTTAATCCCCAACAATTACAGGAATAAGCTATACCAGTATAAACCCAGTAGAACTGCATCCACAGTAGGGGATTGTACTACTTTAGCAATCCCCATTTCAAACAGAAAAAGTTAAAGTGTTACAACTGTGCATAGAGAAGTCCGGAGAAAAGAACCTATGTCAAAAAGCTGTGCCCGCCCACTAAGATGGATAATCATTTTACACACACTTTTCATTATACCAGAGACAATGCACTTTAAAAAGCAACTTATTTGTAATTGTATGTGAGGCTGTATTTCAATGTTTACAAGATCAGGATAACCAAGATCGTGCAGAAATCTCCAAACCAAAGAGGAAAGCATAAATTTTAGACCTCTCAGCCTTAACAGTGTTCTTTTAAAGTTAGAAATAACACTGAGGATCAATACATCCCTGGGCCAGTGCTAAGCACAGCACAGGAATCAAGAGGAGTAAAAATATGCCTCCAACATCCCACTATTTACAGCAGCAAGGCATTCTGGAATGTAGGAATGCCCCATTTGTACCCTCTCTTTCTCCAGACCTGCTCCCAGCACCACCTGCATGCCTCATGCTGACAGGAAGCCAAAGGGTGGCACATAGCCAACTGCGAGCCTGCTGTAGAATCTTTATGGCTGCTTCACGGTCACTTTGTAGCATCACAACTGGTCCAAAGAATCCAAAATGCAAAGGTGATTTCAGAACCTATTTCCAATTTACCTTTACAGTGGTGAAAATTAGGAGTAACTCACTGGAATTATAACAGCGTAAAACTGGTGAAAAAGAGGAATCAGGCCCTGCCCCATTATATATTGATGCTGTTGCACTCATGCTATGTGTCAATCAGTAACGCAAGCAGCAACATATAAAAATCATGAGTCCAATCCCAAATTGCCAACAGATTTGCATAAAAATCATGAGATTTAAAAAAATAATAATTTGGGGTCTTTTTATTGTTTCTGACTTTTGAGATCTCTGTTTTAAAGCTTTTCTCCATGAAGGCTAGAATACTTTTTAAAATACAAGTTGAAATTCTTACAAAACAGCATAACACTAAGAACTATGGCTGTAAGAAAACACTAGATGTCACATGTTTTGTGATATGATTGTGAGCGATGGTAACACTACTCATTCAACTGTTTAGAAGCTCTTCCCTATGGGTTTGGTGTCAGTTAGATACAAATTAGAAATGGGCTTGTCCTGCTATGTTCATATCCTAAGCTGGATTCTTCAACACATCTAAACTGCCTAGAGGTTCATAGCAAGGGGTTTGGTTCAGAACCACCCTATACACACATATGATATTGTTTTCTATAAAGGAGTCATTCTTATGAAGAATCAGACATTTGTATAAGTTGTGCATCCTAACCTAAATATCATGGGGTTCAATTAATAGATTTTGAAATTCGAGTTTCAAATACTTGAGGGAATTTCAATTTTCCATGTAACAATTCAAATCAAGGCACATGAGACTGCTTAGCAAGATGGAGTTTGAGATGACTGAAGCTTGGATAATCAAAGTTATGCTATAGACAGAGCAGCACACACAAATAAATTATGTTGCTTTTGGGTTTGATCAGATAGAAGTATAAAAACAGAGGAATTTAGAGAAAAGACTTTCCTTTTCTTCTCTGACCTTTTTTGGTTATGATCTTGGTCACCCATTGCTTTTGATAACAAAACTATGCCAGTTTTCTTATCCCTCTGCAAACCTTCTCCCCAGTTACTCTGTTACAGTGGACTGGCAACATAAACTAAAGCATTTTTTTTATTTCCTTCTGATCTTTTGTTTTTCATTGTATTTTGCTTCTTGTACGAATATCCCACTATAAAAGGCTCACAGCAGTGCTTACCTATCGCTATGGCCTAAAGGAAAATGATATTGGTGATAAATGAGCAGAGTTATCTTCTAAAATGGAATATCCTTGCTTATGAACATTTATGATTATTATCAACAAGTCATTGAATGGAGCATGGAACATGAGATTACAATAGATGTGCTGTGCACATAATTTTGCCAAATACCACTTGTGAATGAATGCTTCCTGTGATGTTCTCAGGCTGTCCAGGATTGTGAGTCACCTTGTTACACCCCTCCTGAGAGAGGGAGGCTTGTTCTGCTTAACTGGGTGTCAGCTTCTTGAAACCATCAGCCTGTTAGACACCCAAACAATCCCCTCTGGCTGGTGCCAGCCTAACTTTGCTTTGCAGGTTATCAGTCAGTTCTCCCCAGTCCCTGAATCTCTCTTAAGTGTTCGCCTGTAGCGTCCAGCATTATCCACTGCAAACTCACAGAAATACCAGGTCTGCTGTCCTCCAGGGAACAGTACAAATACCAGCTTGTATGCTTCAGCTTAGTATCAGCACCTTGCTTAATATCACAGCACTGAGATATATTTATAGTGTCAACAAGTTTATTACTAAAATTCAAGAAATACTTAACAAGGATCGGGTGGGAAGGGAGATTCACATATAAACCAAAACCATAACACGCTTTCTAGAGACTAAACTTACCCTGTCTAGAGCAGTCTTGTCTTACCCAAAACCTTTTGTTGCATTTTTGATCAAGGCTCGTTCTGATCCCATTTTCATAAATATAAATGCACTCACTGCCCATTTCCTTCCTCTGTGAAGACAACAAGGTGCTTTTTTCATAAATATAAATGCACTCACTGCCCATTTCCTTGTTGTGAAGACAA